ACTGCACCATCAGATCCATCATCAACTGCACCATCAGATCCATCATCAACCTCACCATCAGATCCATCATCAACTGCACCATCAGATCCATCATTAACCTCACCATCAGATCCATCATCAACTGCACCATCAGAACCATCATCAACTGCAACATCAGATCCATCATCAACTGCACCATCAGATCCATCATCAACTGCACCATCAGATCCATCATCAACTGCACCATCAGATCCATCATCAACTGCACCATCAGATCCATCATAAACTGCACCATCAGAACCATCATCAACTGCACCATCAAAACCATCATCAACTGCACCATCAGAACCATCATCAATTGCACCATCAGCACCATCATCAACCTCACCATCAGATCCATCATCAACCTCACCATCAGATCCATCATCAACTGCACCATCAAATCCATCATCAACTGCACCATCAGATCCATCATCAACTGCACCATCAGAACCATCATCAACTGCACCATCAGATCCATCATCAACTGCACCATCAGAACCATCATCAACTGCACTATCAGATCCATCATCAACTGCACCATCAGATCCATCATCAACTGCACCATCAGATCCATCATCAACTGCACCAACAGATCCATCATCAACTGCACCATCAGATCCATCATCAACTGCACCATCAGATCCATCATCAACTGCACCAACAGATCCATCATCAACTGCACCATCAAATCCATCATCAACTGCACCATCAGATCCATCATCAACTGCACTATCAGATCCATCATCAACTGCACCATCAGATCAATCATCAACCGCACCAACAGATCCATCATCAACTGCATTATCAGATCCATCATCAACTGCACCATCAGATCCATCATCAACTGCACCATCAGATCCATCATCAACTGCACCAACATATCCATCATCAACTGCACCATCAGATCCATCATCAACTGCACCATCAGAACCATCATCAACTGCACCATCAGATCCATCATCAACCTCATCATCAGATCCATCATCAACTGCACCATCAGCACCATCATCAACCTCACCATCAGAACCATCATCAACTGCACCATCAGATCCATCATCAACTGCACCCTCAGATCCATCATCAAACTCACCATCAGATCCATCATCAACTGCACCATCATCAACTGCACCATCAGATCCATCATCAACTGCACCATCAGATCCATCATCAAACTCACCATCAGATCCATCATCAACCTCACCATCAGATCCATCATCAACTGCACCATCAGAACCATCATCAACTGCACCATCAGATCCATTATCAACTGCACCATCAGATCCATCATCAACTGCACCATCAGATCCATCATCAACTGCACCATCAGATCCATCATCAACTGCACCATCAGAACCATCTCCGGCAATACCGTCAGGACATCACGGTCACCAGGCCAATGCTGCACCATGGCCATGCATCGCAAACTGTGGGACCTTATAGTAAACCCATGGAGATACACAGAGATACATAGAGACCCATAGAGATACATAGAAACCCATAGAGATACATAGAGACTCATAGAGATACATAGAGACCCATAGAGATACATAGAGACTCATAGAGATACATAGAGACCCATAGATATACATAGAGACCCATAGAGACACATTGAGACCCATTAAGATCCATTAAAGACACAGTCACAGTGGTGCGACTGTGTCCAGGCAACCAAAGATATGGACCGCACAGTGAACCCACAGAGACCCAGTGAGATGCACAGAGACTCATAGAGATGCACAGAGACTCATAGAGATACACTGAGCCCTATAGAGACACATAGAACCCACTGTAGTCTGCGTTCCTTCAACGGAGGAGGAGGAGCAGCGAAACTGCGAGCAGCACCTATGAAGGCCGGCACGGCACACGAGGGGTGGGTGGCCAGCACCACGCACCGGCCGCCTTTGTCTCCCCAGTGGCGATGTTTTACACACCGCACCAGGTACTCACTTGAGGCTGAGTCGACCCAGGGGAGGCCCAGGACCGATTCAGATAATCGTCACCGGTGTTGGCCGTGAGCGGGAATCGAACTCGGGTCGCCAGGTTCGTTTCGCTGCGCACTTAACCGCTGCAACACAACTTCCCAAACACACTGACACAAACAAAGACAAAGATCGCCCGTACAGCCTTCACGGGCTGTTTGGGACATGTCCTGTTAGCTAGCACCTAGGACAAAGACACACACACTAGCCATGTTGTGTAGAAACACCTTTACCTACACACACACATCTAAACACACACACATCTAAACATACACACACATATAAACACACACACATCTAAACACATACATACACATCTAAACACACACACACCTAAACACACACACAACAACTGCCATTCACCACTAAGAGAGGGTGACGTCACCACGACGCTTGTGCCAGGCTAGGTGCACCTTGAGGCCACGTGAAGTGTCGAACGCCCGCTGGCAGGAGGTCACGGGGCAGACCCAGCAGGTACCACGGGTCGACTGACTGAGACGACTGGCTGATGCACCACCTGTGCCCCCTACTGTGCTAACTTGCTGTGCTTTAGTCACCCGGCGCTCCGCTCGTTGTTGTGAGCGTCGCTCCTCCGCCCTCTGTTGTTGTTGGAGGGCGACTGCCTCCAACTGCCCAGTAGCGTCCTTCACGAGCCTCCTCCACAGAGGCCGATCTTGACACCGCTGGTACCAGTCATCGGCAAGTCCACTCAGCTCCACGTCCTCCTGTACCACGTCACTCCATCTCTTCTCTAGCCCATGCTGCGCCCGTTTAGCCCCCTCGATCCGGCCGAACAAAAGCTGTTTAGGCATGCGGTGGCTGGGCATGCGGGCTACATGGCCCAGCCAACGCAGCCTTGCCTGCCGGAGGAGCTCACCGATGGGATTTTGTCCAGATCTTTCGAGGATTTGTAAGCTCCTCACACAATCCAGCCTGGTTAAACCCACACACACATATCTAAACACACACATCGAAACCCATACACATCTAAACACACAAAGATACGGGCAGAGATCCCCCGTATAGCCTTAACATACTGTAGGGGCAAGTGCTGTTATCGAGCACCTATGAAGGCCAGAACGATACACGAGGTGATGGGTGGCCAGCACCACGCTCGACCGCCTTTGTCTCCCCAGTGGCGATGTTTACACACGGCACCAGGTACTTATTTCAGGCTGAGTCGACCTAGGGGAGGCCCAGGACCGGTTCAAATAATCGTCACTGGTGTTACCTTGAGCGGGAATCATAGTGTAGCGCACTAACCGCTAGACTACCGCTCCCCACTAAACACAAACACTCATCTAAACACACACACACACCAAGTGGCTTGAGTTTAACCAGCCGAGACCTCAAGAGACCAGGATAGAGTTTCATTTACAAGAGTGAGTGAGTGGCTGAGTGCATGAGCGTGTGGGAGGGTAAGTGAATGAGTGTGTGGGTGGGTGAGTGAACGAGTGAGTGAATGAGCGTGTGGGTGGGTGAGTGAATGAGTGTATGCCTTGGTGAGTAAGTGAATGAGTGTGTGGCTTGGTGAGTGAGTGAATGAGTGTGTGGGTGAGTGAGTGAGTGAATGAGTGTGTGGGTTGGTGAGTGAGTGAATGAATGAGTGTGTAGGTAAGTGAGTGGGCCTGTGAATGAGTGTGTGGGTTGGTGAGTGAATGAGTGTGTGGCTTGGTTAGTGAGTGAATGAGTGAATGAGTGTGTGGGTGGGTGAGTGAGTGAATGAGTGTGTGGGTTGGTGAGTGAGTGAATGAGTATGTGGGTGAGTGAGTAAATGAGTGTGTGGGTGAGTGAGTGGGTCTGTGAATGAGTGTGTGGGTGGGTGAGTGAACGAGTGAGTGAGTGAATGAGTGAGTGAGTGAATGAGTATGTGGGTGGGTGAGTGAACGAGTGTGTGGCTTGGTGAGTGAGTGGGTGTGTAAATGAGTGTGTGGGTGGGTGGGTGAGTGAACGAGTGTGTGGGTGGGTGAGTGAACGAGTGAATGAGTGTGTGGGTGAGTGAGTGAGTGAGTGAATGAGTGTGTGGGTGGGCGAGTGAACGAGTGAGTGAGTGAATGAGTGTGTGGGTAGATGAGTGAATGAGTGTGTGGGTTGGTGAGTGAATGAGTGTGTGGATGGATGAGTGAATGAGTGTGTGGGTGAGTGAGTGAATGAGTGTGTGGGTGAGTGAGTGAATGAGTGTGTGGGTGGGTGAGTGAACGAGTGAATGAGTGTGTGGGTGAGTGAGTGAGTGAATGAGTGTGTGGGTGGGCGAGTGAACGAGTGAGTGAGTGAATGAGTGTGTGGGTAGATGAGTGAATGAGTGTGTGGGTTGGTGAGTGAATGAGTGTGTGGATGGATGAGTGAATGAGTGTGTGGGTTGGTGGGTGGATGAGTGTGTGGGTGAGTGAACGAGTGAGTGAATGTGTGGGTGGGTGAGTGAATGACTGAGTGGGTGAATGAATGGGTGAGTGGGTTCAAGCTGCTTGAGTTTAACCAGGGGACAACTCAAGAGGCGACCAGTCGCTTTGGCAAAAGTGCCCTCAGGGCATTTGTCTGCTGCCAGACCAATGCCCTCAGGTTAATAACTGCTGCTGCTGTGTAGAATCCCGATTGATTAATTCCGGTGGCACACAATGGCCAATCCACAACATCCACAACCTTTGGTGCCAGGCTAGGTACACATATTGTTTTGTTTTAACCTGGTAGCTCGTGCTTTAGCTGGTCGCTAATGGGTGTTTCTCTTTTCTCAGAAGGAGCGAGCTGGCCGCACACGTGGTGATGATAGCTCAGCCTCGCAGTGGCTGATATCGTCATAATCGTCGTCGTCACCGCACGTGGGAATTTACAGCGGCAGAAGCCAAGCAACGTGACCGCGCGGCGATTATCAGTGTGGAGGAGGACGGAGAAACCTGGAGAGGGTTCCAGGCTGGGACCACCACGGGGAGAGACACGGAGAGAGCACAACGACAGGCATCGCCACGGTCCGGGGTGGAACCCAAGTCTCGCAGGAACACTCACCATCTTGCGTTGGCTGCTCAGGCAGAAGGTGCAGATCGCTCTGGGCGCAGGGTCTCCGTGCCCATTCAACAGCTGCACGTGGCCGCGTCTGCCATGACAGCAAAAGCCAACTCCACTCTCGCCATCATCACCATCATCATCACCATCATCATCACCATCATCCTCGTCCTCCCCACCACCACCACCACCATCGCCATGGCCTTGCCCCTTGAGAAGCACGTTGCCCAGGTGCGAGATGTAACTGGAGGCGAGGCGCAGAGTCTCGATCTTGGAGAGTTTCCTGTCGGCGGGCTCGGTCGGGATGAGCGTCCGCAGTGCGCTGAAGGCGGAGTTCACGCTGTGCGTGCGGTCTCTCTCGCGAGCGTTGGCCGCCTGCCGCTGGCGGCTCGCCCCAGGCAGGGCTCGAGCCCGGCGCCTCCTCCTCCCCACAGCCGTGGCGGAGGAGGAGGAAGAGGGGGATGACGATGATGATGATGAGAGAGATGATGATGATGATGAGAGAGACGACGATGATGATGACATCGCCAGTGGCCTCTTCTTGGCCGATTTCACTGCCGTCATATTTGGCGTTGTCGTGGCGATGATGGTGGTGGTGGTAGTGGAGGTGGTGGCGGCGGCGTTGTTGGAGATATTGGCGGTGTCGCTGCACCGGTCGAGGCCGTCGCTCTCACTGCCACCTTTGTCTCTCTCGGTGTCGGCGGGGTTGGGTGCCCGTTGATCCGAACAGCGAGCCGACCTGGGCATCGCGTTCCGAACCACGCGATCTGTTCCACAGCTCCTCTTGAGACCAGCACCACCAGCAGCAGCAGCGGCAGCCTCGTTCTCGCTCTACAAACTCTCTGTGACTTCGCACTCACTTGATCTCCGCTCTCTCCAACCTGCGAACCTCCTATCTGACACCCTCTCTCATGTTTATTTTGTTGTTGTGGTTGTTGTTTTGGTTGTTGTTGTTGTTCCCCTACGTCCCCGTCTCTCCGTGTCCCCCCTCTTCCTTCTCGCCGTGGTGCACAAACCTGGCTCCCGTCGCACTCTCAGCCAAAGGGACGCATGGTTGTGTGTCTGTGTGTGTCTCCGTGTGTGTCTCCGTGTGTGTCTCCGTGTGTGTCTTTGTGTGTGTGTCTCCGTGTGTGTCTCTGTGTGTGTCTGTGTGTGTGTGTCTCTGTGTGTGTCTGTGTGTGTGTGTGTCTCTGTGTGTGTGTCTCCGTGTGTGTCTCTGTGTGTGTGTGTCTCTGTGTGTGTGTGTGTCTCTGTGTGTGTGTGTGTCTCTGTGTGTGTCTCCGTGTGTGTCTCTGTGTGTGTCTGTGTGTGTGTGTGTCTCTGTGTGTGTGTGTGTGTCTCCGTGTGTGTCTCTCCGTGTGTGTCTTCGTGTGTCTGTCTGTCTTTGACTCGACGTTTGAGGTGGCTGTGTGTTACGCACGTCTCTTGCGGGTAGGTCTGTCTGTGTGTCTGTCTGTGTGTCTGTCTGTGCCTGTCTCTATATGTGTCTGTCTGTGTCTGCCTGTGTGTCTCTGTGTTTGTCTGTGTCTGTCTGTGTGTCTGTCTGTGTCTGTCTGTGTGTCTGTCTGTGTCTGTCTGTGTGTTTGTCTGTGTCTGTCTGTGTGTCTGTGTGTCTTTGTGTCTGTCTGTGTCTGACTGCCTTCCTCCCGATGTGTCCTGTCCCGCGTGAACGAATAGCGGTCTGCAAGGTCGCGTCTCGCCTTGCTGTGTGTCTCCGTGTGTGTATGTCCGTGTGTGTATGTCCGTGTGTGTCTCCGTGTGTGTGTGTGAGATCGTGTGTGTGAGATCGCGTGTGTGTATTTTCGTGAGTGGGTGTGAGGCCGGGAGCGGTGGCGCAGCGGTTAGCGCACCCAGCGAGTTTTTTACTTCGGCTCACGGGACCCAAAGTCATTGGCGAATATTCTGAACCAGTTCTGGGCCTCGCCTAGGTCGACTCGGTCTCAAACTAGCGCCTTTGGTGCGGTGAGTCTCAAACATCGGGGATACAAAGGCGGCCGGGCGCGACAACCGCGTGAATATTTGGGTTTTCAGGAGGTTTTCCGCCAGCAGCGAGGTGAGCGAGCAGCCGCAGGGCTGCGCCTTTGGCCTCTAGAACACGCGAAGCTGGTGAGCCGAGTTCGTCTCCCGCTCACGGCCAACAACAGTGGCATTTAGCAATGCCGGGCCTCCTTCACCTCAAACGGGTACCTGGTGCGGTGTGTAAAAACATCGCCACTGGGGAGACAAAGGCGGCCGGGCGTGGTGCTGGCCACCCACCCCCTCGTGTGCCATGCCGGCCTTCATAGGTGCTGCTCGCTAAACCGGCACTTGCCCCAACAGTCTGTTGAGGCTACACGGGGGACCTTTGTCTTTGTGCAGGCTGCGCGTGCCGCGTGCTATTCCTGCAGCAGCAGCTGTCCAGCCTCAGCCTGGGCAGGCTGCTGTGGTGGTCCAAACGTGTGGTGTCGGGTTGTTGCAAGCTACACACGTACAGACACATACACACAGTGGTACATACAGACACATACATACAGACACATACACACAGACACATACACACTGGGGTACATACAGACACATACATACAGACACATACATACAGACACATACACACAGACACATACACACTGGTGTACATACAGACACATACATCCAGACACATACACACAGACACATACACACTGGGGTACATACAGACACATACATACAGACACATACACACTGACACATACACACTGGGGTACATACAGACACATACATCCAGACACATACACACAGACACATACACACTGGGGTACATACAGACACATACATACAGACACATACATACAGACACATACACACTGACACATACACACTGGGTACATACAGACACATACACACTGACACATACACACTGGGGTACATACAGGCACATACACACTGACACATACACACTGGGCTACATACAGATATACAGATAGACACATACATACGAGTGCATACAAATACACTCACACAGGGGGTACATACAGATACAAATGTAGTGAGTCATTCAGAGACACTATTTAGGAGTCAACAGCGTTTATTTCTACACTTTACGCAACACCGTTACACACGGGACTAAATACACCTATTCTCGCTCTTGTTACGCATAGGACCACAACACACCGATTTGTCTTGCATACGGGATAACTAGAATCGGGTCAGAGCAGCCAACGTGCTGCCTGACCCACGATGTCGGAGACGAAGACGTAGCACTTGGGTTCCACTTCACCTGCAGACAGCCCGGATCTGTGATCGGGGCTTCCCTTTTATCTCTCGCGGCGTGGCCTGGCTCCACCCTCGGCCGCGCCCTGCGTCCAGAATATTCCCGACGGTTCCATGCTACGCCGCACCTGTTCCCTCTTTGGCTCTTTCAGGAACTCTCCAGACATTCTCAGCTACTCCCCCCGTGCCTCCTCGTTCACCTGTGGCCCACGTTGCTCACCCCGGCCCATCGTCTTAACCAGGACGATGGGCGCCCCCCACGGACTGGTGGACGGAGAAATAATGTCGGCGGCCGACATCTCGTCGACCGCCTGCCGCACGAAGTCCTTTTGTTTTGGGCTAAACCCAAACGAATTTTGTCGGATGGGAGCGGTATTATCAATATGATGCTGCATCAAAGACGTGCTTCACATATCAAATCTACCTTTGCCTAAAACGTCAGGGGACTCCCGGATCAAGGCTCATAACTAGCCCATCTGCTCACTCATCAAATCCCGGTTCTCGGCGCACAACACATCCATCCACGACTCGTCCACTGTCGCTCCGCGCTCCACTGAAACCTCAACATGAGCGGCTACTTCGCTGGTCTCTTCACGACACGCAGCCGTCGCGTGAGCCAAAACTGTACCCGCCTGCACAACCGGGGTATGCAATCCAGCATTCAAAACCTGGAGGGAAAGTTCCTGATCCCCCCCCTCACAATCGCCTGGGCTCCCACCAGCATGAGACCCTTATCTGCCCTGTTCGAGGGAGTCAGGAAAATCCCCCCCGCCATAATTTCTCATGCGCCGCACTCAATCGAGTCGGGGCCGACAAGAACGCCAACCGACTCCCCGACGGCAGTTCAACACAACCCTGGCCCACCAGTATTCTACGGGGCATCTTCTTCAAAAAGTCGGTCCCCAATAGACCAGGTACAGCCAGTGACTTTGAGACCAGCACTGGTCCTGTCATCTCAATATCTCCGATCCGAACCGCTGCAATTATCTGACCCACAATGCCCAAACTCCCGCCATTAACGGCGACACAAGTACTTCCTACAGGTTCCAAACAAATCGATTTTACAGGTAGGAACAACAGTTCCACACTGCCCACCAGGGATTATTTGTCTGTCTGTCGTGCATAGCCACGCCCTCGATTTGTATTTCATAGAGCGCTTCGGGCGGGCTCAGCACCACGTGACATGCCGCCCCACGCAGCTTGCGCCGCGTGACACGGGTCGCACGAATGCGCTGTCCAATCAAGTTCCTACCTGCCCACTCCGAAGGAACGTGTTTGCGGCAATGGCCTGTAAATTTGTTCCAGAATTAGGGCGGTGGATGCACCAGTATCTATCAACACCCGGACCTCTACACCCTGCACCGTCCCTACAATGGCTGACGATCCCGCTGCCGCCGCTACGACCCTACGTGCCAACGCCATCCACTGACCCGGACGCCGCGGCCATCCAACACCCTCAAAATTACGCATCTCACGCGCCGCGACACGATAAAAACCAGCGATGCACGAACCCGACATGGTCTGTGATGGAGATGCCTGAGGTGACTGTGTAGGCCAGGTGTGTGATGCACTTCGACTCGCCTTTGGGCTTGAAGGAGCGGAGGTCGGCGGGGTGGAGAACGATGGAGGCATGACGAGCTGTCCCGGCTCGGCACGGCATCCCTTGGAGATGTGGCCGGGCAGGCCACACTTGAAGCAGGTGGTGGGCATCTTCCACGAGGAAGAGACCACCTTCCCCTGCAGTCTCTGCACCTGCCGCCATCCCACGTCGGTCCTCCCCGCTGACTCCCCACAAGCGATGCACAAACTGGAGGGGGCTCCTTTTCCTCTAGTTTTTCGATGTCTCCCGGCGGTCCAGCGCACGTGGCCAATCCGACTCGCCGCCGCAAATTACAGTAAGCCTGGATACAGCGCGCTACCCTGTGGCGGGCAAAAAAACGCCCATGTCTGGTGCCAATGCCAACAGTTGTTCCAGAATCAGAGAGTCCAACCCTGCCTGGTCCATTTGAGGGTACGCCGCTTGGCCCGGCGACGTTGGTGCGCTACAGAACGCGAGGGGCGTCTCGGCCTCCTCCCGTCTCCGTGCAGCAAACTTCTGTCATACGTGGGACGGCGGGTCAAGAAAAGATGCCATCTGTGCACACGCCATCGTCAACGTTGTCCTCTCCAATGGGGGAATTGCGTAAAAATCCGCTAAGGCCTCGTCATCGCACGTCGACACCACGGTGAGTGACAATCTCGACCTTGACATATTTTACTATTCTTTCCTAACTAGTTATTGTAAAGTTAATTGTTAACACTTCTGACACCAAATGTAGTGAGTCATTCAGAGACACTATTTCGGAGGCAACAACGTTTATTCTTCACACCGTTACACACGGGACTAAATACACCTATTCTCACTCTTGTCACGCATAGGACCACAACACCCCGATTTCTCTTGCATACGGGACAACTAGAATCGGATCAGAGCAGCCAACGGGCTGCCTGACCCATGATGTCGGAGACGTCGATGTAGCACTTGGGTTCCACTTCACCTGCAGACAGCCCGGATCTGTGATCGGGGCTTCCCTTTTATCTCTCTCGGCGCGGCCTGGCTCCACCCTC